ATGTGTCTTAAACCCAAGGTGCAAACCTTGTGACACATGGTTTTATCTTATCAGATTAAATCATATCCAAGGCACCTCCAGAGCTATTCTATAATCTCCCTTCTTGAAAAAGAAGAACAGAATTACAATTTTTTCTTAGCAATGCTTTCAGATATAACTTGATAGCCACCAAAATTGTATAAAAATGGCTATTGCCTTAGACACTTAAGTGAGACTCTCCTCTGAAAAGCTCACACCCACATTTGGATATGTCTTTTTTCTTTTACTTCCTCCCACCCTCCGTCCCTCCTTCCTTTCGTCCTTCTTTTTAGAATACTTTATTGTGTATGTTACAAATGTGCAGCAGACTGTCAATAACTGGAGAACTGCCTACAACTGGGCATGTCTTTTTCTTTCTCTGAGTACCCCTCCTATTATTTCTGGTGCTTTTAAATATATCTTAAAAATCTCTTCTTAATAAACTCGAACTCTGTTTCATACTGGCTTATAAATTTTTTTGCTGGGCCTCACCTGTGTAGTTACTGCAATAAGATATCTGATGAAAGCAATTTAAGGAACGAAAAGGGGCTGGCAAGATAGCTCAGCAGGTAAAGTCACTTGCTGCGAAGGCTGATGACCTGAGTTTGATCCTGGGGACTCACATGGTGGAAGGAAAGAACCAATAGTCACAGGTTGTTCTCTCATCTGCACACATACTGTGGCACATGTGTATTAATATACACATAAACAAACCAAAAAATACATAAATAAATACATAAAAGTAATTAAATAGTTTTACTTTGGCTTACAGTTCTAAGATGTACAGTACATCATGGCATGGTGGTAGGAGCACAAAGTGGCAATCACAGTCAGGAAGTAGAGAGTAGTGAGTGCTTGTGTTCAGCTCACTTCTCCTTTATTCAGTCCTGGACCCTAGCCCATGGAAGGATACTGATACAGGGTTATGGAGGGAGAATAGATCTTTCTCAACCCAGTTGTGCATGACCCAAGGACACTCAAGGTCATCAAAGATTGTCCTGGGACTGTGGCTCTGAATTTGTTCTTACAAAAAAGAAAATTAAAGATGTGTGGTCTCATGGGCTATGCAAAGCAGAAGCAAACTTTATTAAGAATTATTACAGAGAAGTAAGACATTGAGGGAAAGTGAGAAATCAAGGAAAAGTGAGAAACTCTTGAGATGGGAGGGGCTTCCAAGAAGGGCAAAGCTACTGTCTAGGGCTTTTATAGGGCACGGAAGAAATTGGATCAAAGCTGAAGGCTATTGAGGTTGGTTAATTCCCTGAGCTATCATGGATTGAGCCAACGGAGAGTCCACACTCTCTATACATGTCCTCCTTCGGCCAACCAGGGAGATGACCATGCACTGCTCATGTGCTCTAGTCACCCAGTTAGGGGTAGTAAAAAATCACCCCTTTGCCTATCTCTGACTTGTGCTTTGGTGGCTGCTAACCTTGACTGTTAGCTGTTGGTCACTGGCTGGTGTTGCTATCTCCAACCTTGTAGGTGTTTCAAGTACTGTTAATTATACTAAGTTCTCTTTGTTCTCTTATTTCTATGACCAGCCTGTAGCTTTGCCATGGCAGAGAAATAACTCCATCACAGCCCCCAAGAGGAAGTTGCAGTCTTTCTTGGTTACCTAGTATTTAGCTTCTTGTCTGTGGGGAGGTCTGGGTGGTCTTAAGTGGAAGCTTCTTAGAAGCCATGTCTTCTTACAGTTTATTTCATCAAGAATGAAAAAAAAATGGCTTCATTAGAAGTAATGATGCCTGAAAAGACAAATGTAGTTACATATACTCCTTAAGGGCTTTGGGAGGCCAGATGGCTGTCTGCTTGTCCTTCCTCTTACCTGTTTACCTTAGCTTTCTCAAACCCTGAACAAACCCTCCTACTTATTTCTGCAGTGTTCCAGGATCTGCTTTTTTTTAAATTAAAATTTTAAAAGATTTATATTGAGCTTACATTTTTCTAATTATCTTTTTTTAAAATTGAATTTGTGTATTTTATACAGAACATCTCAATCAATCTTAATCATCTTTATATCCCCTTCTCCACTGGCACTTTCCCATAGTCTCCCCCCCATCCACTGGAATTCATACATTCTGTCATTTGTTTTAAGGCCTATTGTGTCATGTTAGTGTCCCCAGACATCCCTCAGTGCAACTTCATCTACTGAGGTCTAGTAGTCTAGAGCTAGAGTCTCTTGGTTTAGGAAGATCAGCTCTTCCTCACCTAGCAGTAATCAGCTGCCAATATTTCTTCAACTAAGATTGGGGTCAGCTATCCATTTCCCCAGTTCTATGCTGGATTTTCATCTGTTTGGGTTTGCATGGGTCCTGTGCATGCTGACTGGTTCACATGAGCAGGGTCCCAAGAGCTTGTAGGATACTGTTTCCATAGGATCTGATTTTTAAACCCCAGCCTCTGTTCTCATTGCAACATTTAAGAACTATTGCAGTTTTCACCGTGGGTCCTTTTCCCTTACTGCAGAAAGCTAACTCCAGCATCAATATTGCCTACATTTAGGGTGTGTTTTCCCACCTCACTGAACCTAATCTAAAGGATCTCTCACAGACATGTCAGAGATTTGTTTGGATGATGGTTTTTAAGGTCCATTAAGTTGACAATCCCGATTAACCTCCATCACCTGTTTTTAAGTTTCTGCAAACAACTCCTCAGGCTGCTGCAGAAGTGTGGAGCTGTGTCTCTGGCCCTCGCCCATTGCTTGTGATATGAAGACTCTTTCCTTTCTAACCACCTCTCAGTTCTCATATATTGAAGAATTTAGAATATGACTGACAGATAAAACACAAGGCACCCAATTAAAATACAATGTCAGGTAAATATAAATTTCATTGTAAATATTGCCTGGGACATACACTAAAAAATTATCTGAAAAGCAAGTGTAATGGTATCTCCTGGATTTGTATTTGCAAAATCCAGTAACCCCAGATGAACTATGTTTGCTTTGTCCCCTCCCCACTATTTCTTCCTCCCAGAACATGTAGCTTTGAAGCATATGTCCTCAGATCCCATCATAACCTATTCCTCCTTACTGGAAATGTTTGTCGTGTTTAGGGGCGCTACTACCAAATCACTGATCATTTTAGTATCTGGCTCACCTTCATCATCTCAGTAATTATTTCCATTATAATAATTCCAGTATCTATAGAGATGATCCTTAAGTAGCTCTGCTTCTTTTTTCCTTTACCTGCTCACTTCAAAACTTTTCTTCATTACAATTCAATGGAGAAGTATAGAGAATGTGGAGATGTTTGGTAATATTTGGACAGTCAGGGAGGCATCTCTCAGTACAGGTCAATAAGAGCACAGGAGAATGGGGCTGGAGAGATGGCTCAACAGTTAAGAGCACTGGCTTCTCTTGCAGAGAACTCAGGCTCAGTTCCCAGTATGCACATGGCAGCTAATAACCATCCATAATTCCAGTTCCAGGGGATCCAACATCCTCTTCTGGCCTCTGCAGGCATTGTATGCATGGGTATACTTACATACATGCAGTCAAAACACTCATATGCATAAAATATAAATAAATAATAAATAAATAAATAAAATTTAAAGACCAATAGGAGAAGTGAGGGGTCCAGCTCTGTTGACCCTGGATAAAAGCTGTTTAGACAAAGGAAATGATACATGCAAATACCCTGAAGCAAAGGATTTCCAGATTTATTTCTTGAAAAGAGGAACTGGATCTTAAAGTTGGTATGTTCTCAGTAATATTTTGCCTACCAAGTAGCTCATTTAACTTGAGAATTCATAGATGGGCACAATCAATTCTTGTTTAGCAACAGGCACCTTAATAGAAGACATAAATAAGAAATAACTAACTAAATACATAAATGTATGTGGAAATCAATTACAGTCCTGCAAGAACTTCCAATAAAAAAAAACATGATTAGGAATTTTAAATAAGAACATTAAATGCTGTGGGTGTGGTGGCACATGCCTCAGGAGGCAGAGGTCAGCCTCCTCTATACAGCTAGTTCCACCGCCAGTTGAAGCTGCAGAGAGATCCTGTCTCCCCAAAATTAAAAAAATTAAAAGAATATAAAATAAAAGCATACAGTAAATAAGCAATCGGGTTGCAGAGGTGGTTCAGCAGTTAACAGGGCTTGATGTTCTTCCAGAGGAGCTAAGTTCAGTTCCTAGCACCCAGGGCTGGTGGCTCACAACTGCCTGTAATTCCAGCACCAGGGGATCAGGCTCTCTTCTGGCTTCCATGAGCACTCGCATGAACCTGGCACACAGACAAACCTGGCACACATGCAGACACGAACACCTAGATGTAAATATATTTTTTAAAATTAATAAATAATCAATCAATATTATAAGTAGAAAAGTCATTTTGCAAGGTGCAACTGAGGAGCACTATGCAATTTGGACATGGGCTTGAGAGGCAGAACTTTTTCCTTTTTCATATTCTTTGCTTTTTAACTAGAAGGGCTTTCAAATATTCTGTATGCAAGTTAGCATGTTAACCCCATGTCTTGTCCCCTACAGGCCTTCTGTAGTCTTTCACACTTTTTTGATTCTGTTACTTTCAATCCATTAAAATTTTGGTGCAATGGAGATTTTAAAAAATTAAGATCAAGTCTTTTTTTAAAAAATAAATTTATTCAATAAAGTCTCCTGGATGCCTGCCAAATGAGAGAAACCCCGAGATGGATATACCCTAGTGTCAAGAACAGTGCTCGCCATACACAGATATTTAGTAAATTTCTGTAGAACAAATTTGACTGAATGAGTGAATGAAACGAGTCGAGAAACTGCCTTCCCTGAGCACTCAGATCTGACGCCCGGAGTATTAGAGATGTTTATGTAATTGTGCCAAATGGTTTCTGAAATACCATAGACAGGGAGAACAAAGAGAAAATGGTGAAACCACGCACCTTGTAACTAGATGGCGCTAATGCGGGCACTAATAGAGTCCCCAATCGGCTTCCGTAGTTCCTCCACCAAGAACTTTCATCCCTGACCGGTAGTGACGTCAGTAGGTTTGGCGCTCGCGGGAAAACTTGTCTGGGTATAGGAAGACCCGGACCAGCTGGACCTGGCGCTGCTATGAGCCTCTGGGTGGACAAGTACCGGCCGTGCTCCCTGGGCCGGCTGGACTATCACAAGGAGCAGGCGGCGCAGCTGCGCAACCTGGTGAGCCGCCCGGGAGCTGCCGCCCGGAGGTCCGCTGCGGATACCCCGGGAGGGTGTGGGAAAGTGGCGCCCGACGCAGTGGGGCGTCCCAGTCGGAGCCCCGGGGAGAGTGGCACCATATGGGGGGCGATGTGTGCAAAATTCCCGGCAGGAGTACGTGCAGAGCCTGGTCTGGGACCTCCAGGAGGCCCGGGAGCTGCATAATAAAGGGCGAACCCCAGTTGTAGGAAGTGGCGTGTGTGTCATCCAAAACAGGGAGGACAAGGATCGGGAAGCCCCTGTTCTGTGAGATGGGGAGCTGGCGGAGATGACTTTGCTCAGCACTCTGTTCTTCAGTTACTAAACGCTTTCAGAGTTAAACAGATACTGTTACTTTTTTAAAATGAGAAATTATTTTAAATGACTACGTCTTCTCTATGAAGTCTTTAGAGTTGGTACTATGAAATTGAAAGTTTTATTGATACTGCATGTATATTACTTTAAAATAGATCTATATGAACACTACATTTTTATGCAGACTGCATTTTCTAACGATAGCTTTGATTTTATGTTTCCTGGCTATAGGATACATTTTATTTGATTATCCATGGTTACTTCTTGATGGAATTGGGAATACACATTTTGAGCAAGAGTTTAGTACAACTAATCTTACATGCTAATAAGTTTGCCTTTAAATCTGCACCTGTTCGCTGTTTCTTAACAAGGTCAAGCCCAGGTGCCTGTAGTGGCGTTAGTTTCAACAGCACACTCAACTGTCTCCTTTCGAATCCCTGCTCTGTGGTGAAATTTTTTTTTTTACCCCCCAGTTAAATTAACAAGTAAAAGTGAACCAGTGCCCCTAGTTCTTAGGAGGACTGTTTCTGGGAGATCAAGCAGGACAAACATCTATGGTAAAATTACAAAAATTTGATTTCATATATGGTCAGCCCTTGATTTTCAAGTTTTCTCAGCTTGGTTTGGGAGTTACTATTTTTAGTGTTGTGTCTTTCATGTTCTGTGCTATGCCTGTTAGTTTAACGCCTGGGGAATAATCAACATTTCAGAGTTGGGTGAATATGTGTTTGTGTGTGTGTGTGTGTGTGTGTGTGTGTGTATTTGTACTTGGAGTTTGGAAGGTAAACAACTTGGTGTGTAAAAAAAGTAGTTTGGTTTTAACTGGAACACCTCGATATGACTAAGGGGAAAAACTACCTTGTTCTTTTTCACCCAGGTGCAGTGTGGCGACTTTCCCCACCTGTTAGTATACGGACCATCAGGTGCTGGGAAAAAGACAAGAATCATGTGTATTCTACGAGAACTTTATGGAGTTGGAGTGGAAAAGTTGAGAATTGAACATCAAACTATCACGGTAAGCATTTCAGTTTATGGCTCTCCAGATGTTCCTGGCAGGGATTTTCAATCCTGGTAGTGTCTACATTGCTCCCTGCCCACAGCTACCTAGACTTAAAGACAGGTAATCCTGATGTTGAGAGTGGCTGGTATGTAGACCTAAGTATTAAAACTAAGCTCAAGTCTCAGAGAGGAAACAGGAGCAGCAGAAAGTTTGACTAAAAGGTAGAGGGTGGGAATCACTCATACTGTCTAGTAAGATGGTGTGTCTGTTGGAACAGGAATCAGATTTTTGAAGTTCATTGTTTTGAGAGCAAAAGTGCAGCTAAAAGGGATGATTTTGAAAAAAAAAAAAAAGTGAAATCAAGCTGCTAGGAAAGCTGGGGTCACCACTGGGAGAAACAACTTGAGGAACTGGAGGGTGAGAAGCTTCTTGTGATCCTACCCTGGACAAACTTTGGGTACATGCACTGTGCAGTGCGCTGTCATTCTGTTTTCTTAAGGACAGGACGGTGTTTCAGATTTAGCTGAAGTGGCGTCGTGTGTGTGTGTGTGTGTGTGTGTGTATGTATGTATGTATGTATGTATGTGTGTATGTGTAGCTCAGGACAATCTTTTGATGTTGGTCCTGACCTTTACACTTTGTTCTAGACAGTGTCTCTTTGGGTTGCTTATGTCAGACCTTTTGGCCTGTGAGCTTCTAGGGGTTCTCCCGTCTCTAGCTCAAGTTAAATAAAGAACATGGGTCTTCAGAACATTATGTATTGAAAAAGGAATGACTGCTTCCTATGGATGGTAGTGCTATTCATCTGTAGGATTTTAGGCTAATGTGATTAAGTTTGAGGAGTGCGGGAAGAAAACTTGAGGACGAAAAGCTGAACAAGTAGAAAGACGAAGGTGCTGTCGGTTGGGAGGCTTTGTATTTAAGTCTGTTTTCTCAGGTTTATGGTACAAATTTCAAATTTTAAAAAATTACATAATTCCATCCTAAATTTCACATGGAAGAAGACAGTTCAGAGGCTAGCTACAGTAATTATGAAAGATAAGTATTTTAGTTCTCTTTTTCATCCATTTAACCAAATTACCTAATATAAACTAACTTAAGGAAAGATGGTTTGTTTTTGACTTCACTTCAGGAGATTTAGTCCCTGGTCAGTTGACTCTATTTTTAAGCTCTTGTAAGGAATTGGGATGGGGGGGCTGTGATGGAGAAGGGCTGCTTCATTTCATGCTGGACAGGGAACAGGGTATCTGCGGAAGGAACCAGGGATAAGATACCCCAAGGAGCCATCCCAGTCTACCTATTCATCTAGGTTTCCTGCCTCCTAATGTTTCCAGAACATCCCCAAATAACACTAGTAGCTAAGGACCAAGCTTGAATACAGTAGCCTGTGGGTGGCATTTTAGATTCAAATTGTAGCATGTGGCTTATGTTAGAGGATGGCAAATCACAATTTAAGGTCAAAACAGTAAAGTTTAACAAGTGGAACCAAATAACCCATAAATGTGGAAGGTATATTTCTAATTTGTGGAAAAGGATAAGCCATCATAGCTAGTTACCGATTGGAAAATAATGATGAATCCTGTGTTATAAATTTATCATCTTAGATTCCAGGTGATTTAAATACTTAAATGGTAAGATGAAATATTAACTGTCTTAGAATAAAATTTCTTAGACTGTTTGAGCTACCTGATGGTCAGGAAACTATAGAAAAGAAATTTAGGATATGTATGAATTTTAAGTCTATAAGGTAAAGTATAGCAAACGTAAAATCAATAGAAAGTGATTGCCAGAAAATATTTGAAAGGAACATATTAGATAAATGATTTCTCAAATTGACAGCAGAAAGACAGCTTGGTCAGAATTAAAAGTGGGCAGTAGTATGTAAAGATGCTGAAACTCAAGTAATCAAGTTGTTGAATCTAGTATATATTCTAAACAATAACATTAAAATTCAGGTAGAAACCAGGTAGCCCAGAAATGTGATGGAAGTTCTATTTCAAATCATTGGAGATGGATGAGCCAAATAAATACATTAAAAAGTACTGCTGGGCATGATGGCACACGCCTTTAATCCCAGCACTTGGGAGGTAGAGGCAGGTGGATCTTTGTGAGTTTGAGGCCAGCCTGGTCTACATAGTTTCAGGACAGCTGGGGCTACAGAGAGCCCCGGTCCAAAAAAGACCAAAAAAAAAAAAAAAAAAAAGTGCTGGAATAGCTATTTATTGGTAGGAAAATTAATAGTCAAATTCACAAAAGTTGAAAGGCATAAGAAAACCTACAGTCGGTAGGAATATTAACAAAGTATTTGTTGCTAATGGAAAGTGAATGTTAGTTTCTTGTTGCACAGACTTGTGTATGGATAGGCAGTGCAGACACACAGCATGGCATAGTGAGGCCCATCAGTATAGTTAGCTGATACAGTCAGGACCTCATACCAGCTGTCTGAGAGGGATTGCCAGGAGATGTTTCTAAGTGGGAAATGCAAAATAGAGATATGGATATAATTTCCTCTTTTTATGCTTTATTTTTTTGTAGGAAACACTGATACTATAAATATATTTTTTCCTTTATTTTTGTGTTTATTCTATAAAAGACTGAAAAGACATATGCAGATTGTTGACACTGATTTGATAATTGAAGATGACTTGGGGATTTCTGGAAATTAAAAGAAAAAAGCAATCACAACAAAAATAGAACACGTAATACAACTGTATATAAACACATTTGTTTGCATATTAAGAATGGGGTTAATGAAGTTGCATTGACAGAGGCTAGCCCAAAGTGTTATTTAGTAAAGTTCTGTTGTTCATGTGATAACAGAAAAACAAATGAAAATGCTAGCAAATAAGTGTTAAACAATTTTTATTCTGTCCACAGACTCCATCTAAAAAGAAAATTGAAATCAGCACCATTGCAAGTAACTACCACCTTGAAGTCAATCCCAGGTAAATTGCTGCTAAGTGTTTTTAGAAAAAGAATTAGGGGTCTGAAGAAATGACTCAGTGGTTAAGAACACTGGTTGGTCTTGTAGAAGACCTGGGTTCGAATCCCAGCACCCACATGACAGCTAACAACTGTCTGTAACTCCAGTTTCAGGGGATTCTGACAGCCTCTTCTGTCCTCTGTGGGCATTGCATGACATGGGTGCACTTACTTACATGCAGGCTTAATACTCATACACATAAAATAAAAATAATAAATATTTTTTTAAAAAAGAAAAAGAATTTGATACAGATTTGTTTTTGAAGTAAGGTCTTAGTGTGAAAGCACAGTGTGTAGAGGAAAGCTGCCTTCCTCAACAGCCTGGTGCTGCCCTACTGTGCTCTCTTGGACAACTCTGCGATCCCTTTAGATCTTCTCTGCAGAGCTTGTCGTCTTTCACAACACTCTTTATATCATGAGTAAGTTTTGTTAAGTTGCATTGACTCAGTACTGAGGAGCAAAATATGTCTAAAAAGTTTATCATGTCTGGAATGAATCTTTCAGAAACTGAATGGCCAAGCCTTCTTGACCATGTTTTGCTCTTCTGTGTTTCGGTTGGAGGGTATTATAATAGTCTGCCAGCCAACATCTGATATCTGTCAAGGGATGGTGAGATCAGAATCTTGCTGTGAGACATGGGAAACTCATGTTGCAGTGTGGGGTGAAGTGTCAGGGCTCTGTGAGGCTCGGGCATTGTGGGGTGTAGAACAGAAACCTTTCAGGCAAGGGCAACTGTTGGCCATGGCACCAGGGCCAGAGTGAATGTTCCTGTCAAGGAGATGGAACAGGATGAAGGAAGCCGGACCAGGAGAGTTTTGAACTAATGTGTATGTGTGTTTGCTGGCAGGCACTGTGTGAGAAGCTCTATGTGGGTTATGATATGCAGTATCTGGTTTTATAGTTTTCCCTAGATTTGTCAAAAAAATTAGGAGAAAGATGAGTGGTGGGAATGGGCCTAGTTATAAAACTCAGTGTTAATTCCATAGACAAGTGGGAAATGTGTTGGATTCTGTGTAGGAAAATGATCACAAAGGAGTCCAGGATCGTGATGTTCTGATCCAGCTGTAGTGAGCTGGGAAAACTTACTGACTTCTTGGGAAAATAAAACTGTTTGCTCTCTCTCTTCCTACTCCCATGTGTTCTTCCGAGTAAAAGAAAGCCAGAAATTATGTTTGTTTTCAGATGTTTGAAATGAATATTCAGTCAGCCTAAACAGATTATTTCTGTTAGAGGGGCTTTTATCCACTAAAGCAGTAACATGATTAAAATGACAAGTTTGTGACTGTAATTAGTGAGCAGTTTGTATTTTAAGCTCATTTTGCCTAATCTATTTCCTACCGAAGTCCTTGAATGAGTTCAGTGCTGTTACTAAGAATGGCCTTCTCTCAGACCTTAGTGCTTTAGTGCTGGGGGAAAAGACTGGAGATTACATTGGTATTTTATAATTATTTTTATGTTTTAATAATTATAGATAATTGAGAAATTAGCTGTAGTCTAAGCTTTCCATAGTGGGTAAAGTAATATCAAAATATTTGCTAAATTATTATTGCTCTTTAAGTAATGGTAAATTGAGAACAAGCTTAAGCTTTCAGTGATAATCTGTTTACTTTAAAAATTGTAATTACATATCATTAGTTGTAAGAAGAAAAAAGATCTGGGTTTTGGGGGGTTTGGTTTTTTTTTTGGGGGGGGGGCTTTTTGAAACTAGGTTTCCCTGTAGCCCCAGTTGGCCTAGAACTTTTGTGAGGATCAGACTGACCTCGATCTCATAGAAGTCCACCTGCCTCTGCCTCCCAAGTGCTGGGATTAAAGGCGTGCACCACCATGCCTAAATTTCAAACACAAGATATTTCAGTATTAGCCAAGAATTGCAGTGTGTTCTGGAGGATGAAGCAGGAGGATTGCAAATTCTGAATAAATGTGGGCTACCTAGCAAAACCCTGTCTAGAAAGGAAAGAAAGCAAGCTTTTAAACAGTTTTTTCCTTATAACAGATTAAGAATAAGGGCCTAATACTTGATAAATGTTTACATGTATGTAATTGTTACTCTTTCATGTAGTGATGCTGGAAACAGTGACCGGGTGGTCATTCAGGAGATGCTAAAAACGGTGGCACAGTCACAGCAGCTGGAAACAAGCTCTCAGAGAGACTTCAAAGGTTCGTGATGGAAGAGTGCTCTGCGTGAGGCTGCCCAGCACTGCTCCTATTATTGGAGTTACAGAAGTGAATGAGGGCTATGGTCTCTGCTCGTGGAGTTCACCGTCTCCTATCTGTGGTGAACAAGACAAGGAGAGAACACTTGAAAATTAGAAATGAAATCACTTTAAAATATTTACTTTTATGACCAAAATTTCATGTTGACAGTTGTTTCCCCCAACACAAAGAAAATTAAAATCAGCTGTAATCCCTTCCTTCTTTTAGAGATGACTATTAATAGTTTGATATTTGCCTTCCAGTATTTTTTTATATGCCTATAATTCTTACACATAAGGTTTTGTGATGACAGAAGTGCCAGCATGTAGTACTTTTTGTGTGTTTTTACAAGTTTTAAATCTGAGGGGGGATGTAAATTTCTGTTTTTCTGAAACATTGATCTATACTATGTATTATTTTTTTATCTTTGTCATTTTGGAGAAAGTAGTATTTTGTTTTTTTCCAGTGAGTATTGTTATATTTTGAATTGTCTGTATATTTATTCTTAGCCTATTTGTTTTGTGTTGGGGGGTGGGGTGTCATGTACACATGTGTGCCAGTGCATGTAGAGGCCAGAGGTTGATGCTTCCTGTCTTCCTTCATCACTCTTCAACTTACCTTTTCAGACAGGATCATGAGAATGAACCTGAAGCTTACCAATTTCAGCTGTGCTGCCTGGTTGGCGAGTTCCAGGCATTCACCTGTCTCTGCTTCCCCATCTCAGGCTTTTTTCCATCTCAGGCTTTTTTCCTACTCAGGCTTTTTACATGGCTGCTGGGGATCTGAACTCAGGTACCCAGGTACATGGCAAGCACTTTACTGACTAAGCCATCTCCCAAGTCCGGCCTGTTTCTTATCTTTCCTCCTTAGACTGGTATTTCCAAAAGAACTTTACATTCATAAAATTTTTGCTACCACAAATGGAGTCTTACATTTTCTAATTTTCTGTTTATGGTAATTACTAATTTATGTGCTATTATGTCATTTAATTTTCTAATTGTTTATAATAGCCTAGATAGTTTCTTTTGGATTTTTCAGATATAATTATGTTCATGAATATAAATACGGTTTTGTTTTCTTTTTGCTTTCCAATTTGTGTGGCTCTAAATACTTTCTCTGGTGTGCTTATGTTGACTAGTGCCTCTGGTACAGTGTTTGGTAGTTGTAGAGGTAGTTGCAATCCATGTCATGTTTCTGGAAGGACAGTCTTAGGATCTCCCCATTTAGTTATTAGATTTTGTAATTAAGTATATGTATTTGATCATGGTTTGAAAATAATCCTCAGTTCCTATTATACTGGATGCATTTAACTTGAGTGTGTGTGTCTAATGCTTCTTCCACATCCATGAATGTCATTTTATGATTTTTCTTCTGTTAGTGTCATAGCAAATATTTTTGTATTTTCTAATATTAATATTATAATATTAATATTTCTAATAGTGGTTTATATTTCATTTCTTATCTTGGTCACACACACACACAAATATACTACCTCTGCCTATCAGTTACTTTTGTGTTAGTATCTCTAGCATCACTGCTAAACACAGAACTAGTGGTATATATACATATATGTGTG